TTAATTGTGCGAGCTGCGTGTTTCTGATGTCGATAGAGAGATTTAAGTTTGGTTTTGTGAGCGCTTCCCCATATTATTTTTGCATAATTTAAATGGCAATGAATAAATGAATAATATAGTTGTGTTAATAGATGTTTATTTAATATATGTCTAACTTTATATAGAACTCCAATGCTTTTAGCAAGTTTCATTGAAATATTACAATTTGTTGCCTCCAAGATAAGTTTTCATCTATCATAACTCCTAAGAATTTTGAAAATTTTCCTCTTTTTATTACTGTACTGTCAATATATATATATATATATATATATATATATATATATATATATTTTTTTTTTTCAAATTTTTTGCCGTAGAAAGTTACAATTTATAAAATAACATAAATAATAAAACAAATGGCTGGAGCAAGAAGAAGACATCAGTTTGTCTTATCACCGAGCCCCATAGTGACTTCATTACAGGTCGTTTTTTACAACAAAATATATAAAATCGTGATAAATTGTTTGTGATAAAATATGTAAAAATGTGAAAAACTACGTTTTACAATTGATGTAACTGTTTATATATAAATTCGTTTAGTAAAATAAATTTAGAACAAGTAAAAGTTAAAACGAATAAAAGAAATAAATTGTGCTAGTTTATTTTATACTAAAAAAGAAAAAGAAAATTTAAGTCCGTAGATAATAAAAAACGCTTTGATTCAGATTTGAACTGTTACTCCGAAGACAATTCTACAGGCATGTTTTTGTTTACTGTAGAGTTTTTTTACTGTAGAATATATAAGTTAACCTTCAAATACGTAACCTTCAAATACGTAACTAATTAAAGTAGCAAGCAATGTACAATATTTTTAACCTAAAAACATTTTTATTATATTAGAAAAAATGTATTTGTATACTCCAAATTCTTTCCTAAAATCACAACAAAAGTCATAAATTTTGCAAATTTATGGATAATTTGAATAATAAATGCTCGGTAATAAAACAAAAATAAATATACGTACGATTACGTATGACGAATTAATTTCTTACCAACAACGATATCAAGAAATTATATGCGGACATGAATATTGAACTAAATAAAGTAAATAACTGGTTTAAGGCTAACAAACTCTCACTTAATACCGAGAAAACAAACTATATACTTTTTCATAAAAAAACACAAGAAGAAAATCTTCCTCTCAAGTTGCCGAACCTATTTATAAATGATAAATTAATTAAAAAGCAATCCAATATAAGATTCTTGGGAATCGTTGTTGATGAAAAATTATCCTGGCTTCCTCATATAATATATATCCAGTCAAAAATTACCAAAATCATAGGTTTAATGTATCGAGTTCGCTCGTACATTAATACAAATAGTCTTAAATTAATCTACTTTGGGCTAATTCACAGCCTCATCAGCTATGCAAACATTTCATGGGCAAGTACTCAAACAGCAAAGCTTAAGAAACTTTATAGTTTTCAGAAACATGCCTGTAGAATCATTTACTTTAAAAATAAGCGGGAACACGCTAATCCCGTGATGAAAGATATGAAAATGACGAATGTATTTGAAATAAATATCTACCAGCATTTAATTTTCATGTATCGTTACAATCACAATATTTCTACTATAAGCTTTAATAATAAGTTTGAGTTAAATAAAAATGATAACTATAATCTTAGAGCGAATATGTTGAACACATATAAACTGCCAAGGATAATAAATAAGTATTCAAAATACAGCATTTTGTATAGAGGTCCAAAGGTATGGAATATTTTTCAGAAAGAGTTCAAAGGTACGGTGAGTTCGTTAAGTTCATTCAAGTTTTTAACAAAAAAAGAAATCTTTAAAACCGGTGAAACATTTTTTGTTAATAATGCTTTGGATAAATTCTCTTAAATAAGTTTTTGTTTTGTTTCTACTTTTGTTTGTTGCTTGACAATTTTTATTAGCGGATTACGCATTTTGTTATGATATTTTATTGACATTTTTATTTTGTATGACATATTGCGATATTTTAATTAAATCTTGTTAAAGGGGTTCTATGAAAAGATTGCGATGACGTTCTGTCATCCTCATCTTCTTTGAGTCCCTATCTGTTTTACTTATTTTGTTAAATTTTATATTATGTAGTAGAATCTGTAAAATTCTTATGTTATGTAAACAGAGAAAAAAAGAAAAAAAAAAATTTTTTTAATGCAAAATATATGTAGAGTAGGCCTTTTTTTTAATTCAATATATATATATATATATATATATATATATATATATATATATATATATATATATATATATATATATATATATATATATATATATATATATATATATATATATATATATATATATATTAGGGATATGACTTTTTTTAAAAAAATTTCCCTGGCCCAAAAATGGATAAGTTTTTACGCATAAAATGCGAAAATATTAGTACTTTCACGATGTTCAAAAAAAATGTCACGCCCCAAAGCACATTAAGATTTAAAAAGGTTTTAAAAAAATTAATGACCAAAATCATTTCTATTTGCAAACATGTTCATTCATATGATTCTATAAAAAAACATAATTTATTCTAACAATTAATACATGGCATAGTGTTATATTCAATGCAGGAAAAAACATTTTATACAATTTAAATACATACAGTTATTGTTTGTTAGACAAAATGAAACGAAGTGGAAGATTGTCTTTATTTCTGCACAATCTATAAAGCTCCTCCATTACTTTAATTGCTCTTTCAGCACATTGATTACTTCTGGGAATGTTGATTGCTGATGGCTCTGGATTCCAATGACTTGTAAATGTAGCAAGAGGTTTCTTTTTGTTTAATAAAACTTCATGAAGGTCTGAATAAGTGTTTTCTTTATAGGTTTGGTCGTCAAACCAAAAGTCTGCCCACTTGTAAGAAATAAAGGTACATACAGATTCAAGTTTGTTTTTTGTTTTTAGCATAAGAATGTAGGCTAACAACGCTAAAATAGCTCTTGAACTCCACCGAGCATTACTGATATTAGGGATTTTTTGAAATCTTACATTAGGAAATATTTTATTTTGGTCATAGTATCGGTAGGTTCTCGTCAGATGAAACAGAAACTTCATGTCGTCTCGCCATCCTCCTGTGTCTTTTATTGCTTCTGTACCATTATAAAAATTTGTCTTCAGTGTTTCATAATGTTCTAACAACTTGTTAGTAAAAAAGTAATTAATGTTTGGTAAGTTCGGATTTTCTCCCAATTTTTCTTCCATTTCTAGTCTAAGTATTCTATCCAAGATATGATGTTGACATGGTACAAATTGAGGTTTTTGTAATCCTTTTTTTTGAAAAATGTCCTGAAGTTTTACAACAACACCATTTTTCTTTCCGGTATTGACATTTGTAGTATCTGTCACAATCATTTTAATTGAATTCCATAGTTTAAATTCATCTATAATATCAGCTATGGCATTAATAATAGTGATAGATTTTCCATCTATTAACTTCAGTGCGCCCAACTTTATTTCGCTTCTTTCATTTTTAAGAACGACAACCTGATACTCCCATTGGTCTATATGCTTTCCATCGAAGTGTAGACTCCAATTCTCATTCTTTAAATCTTGAATTAAAGTTTCTTTAAATTGTTTTGCTTAATTAAAAAGATCCTTGTATATTCCAGACTGTTATGGCGCTGGAACATGTATGGCTTCTGAGGACAGTATTTTACCTATTTTAGAAGCTTTCTTAGTTGGTACCTTAGCACAAACCACTAACTTTGTTGCTATTTTACAACTACCATATTTTTTACGTCTTTTCTTCAAATTATTATATTCTTCATCTGTAGTTTCATTATCTATCTCAAATTGTTCATCAGTTTTTTCAAATTCGGAACTAGAGTTGTCTCTTTCTAATTTACTACTTTCAGTAAATGAAGAAAAACATTTAGATGCTGAAGGTTGGCTGAAAAGTTTTTGTACAATTGATGGATGAATAGTCTTCTTTCCTGCCAGCTTTGAAGTAGCATATCCAATTTCACCTTTGCTTTGTAACTGAATTTCATAAAATCTTTTATCTTCAGATGATAACCAAATGCCATTTTGATTTGTTATATCAAAAATCTCTTTTTGCAGAAGGTCGGCATTCGCTTTTTTCCTGAGACTTTCATATTTTTCTATAACATCATTAATCTTTCGCTTCACTGACTGCTCTGTCAGACATGGGAAATTTAATTGTTCTTTCCACAAATTTATAACTTCTTCTGAAATAAGATCTATCCTTTGCTTTTTGGCTTTCACATCAGTACTAGACAAATACTTAAACCAGCTAACAATATCACTTTTTAATGGCATTTTGGAATATTCTTGAAAAGATGTTTCTAACATTGGAAACTGTCTACTTTTATGCGAATCTTGAAATTTCACAAGATTTTTTTTATAAGTCTCTTTATTTTTTTTAACACTTGATTGGCAGTATTTGTATGCCATTTTAATTAAAAGCAGCACAAAAAAATCTGAAACTAATTAATAAACAATTAGGCACGGCAGTGAAAAACTAGAAATTATAAAGTGGTAATGCATACGTCTGGTATGTATTTAAAATTATATATATAATATATATTAACCGTCTATATATATTTTATTATATATAATATAATAATATAATATAATAAAGTATATATAGAGGGTTATGACTTCTTTAACTTATGTTTTCTGGCCCATATGTAATATGTATAGTATATTATATTCCTATCTATATTAAAAAACATTTTAGCCGAGGGGCGTGACATTTTTTTACACTTGAAGGAAAATAAACATTTCTTCATTGTTTTATAGCAAAAACTCATCCAAAAATAAAATGGGGTTGTCCAAATAGTATAAAAAGTTAAAAAAGTCATATCCCTAATATATATATATATATATATATATATATATATATATATATATATATATATATATATATATATATATATATATATATATATATATATATATATATATATATATCCAAATGTAATTGTTAAAGCTACTGTTTTTATTCATAGAAAATTTTTTCACCTAAAGAAACACTGGAAAAAAAAAGAACCTATAAAACAAATGAAATTAAAAGAAGCAAAACTTGTATAATGTTGAAGACTGCCACAAATGACTGCCCATGGTGGTAGTGTGTTTACATAGTTTGCATGTAAAATATTGGTAGCAATGTTTAAAAGTTTTTTTTATATGACAAATATTTTCAACTTTATGTGTATTGATTTTTTCTAATTAATTATTTTTTTTAATATAACAGTTTTTTCGTCACTAAAATATTGTCTGTTGTATTGAAAAAAAAATTTAATACGCGGAGTGTTATTTTTTTGTTATTTTTCATTTTAAATGACTATTTGAATCGGTGAATGTTAAAAGGGCGGAAGTCCAATAATGAAAACTTTCGGGAAACTAAAATAAACTGCATTTTCCAATGTAGTAAATTTATATTAATGGTTCAGTAATATTTTTTTTGAAGGTAAAAAACTTTATTCTCTTCAAAAAAAAAAAAATTATTAAACCATTAACGAAAATTTACTGTGTGGACAATGCAGTTTTTTTTAGTTAAATGAAAGTTTTCATAATTGAACTTCCTCACCGATTCATTTATACTCGCGCCACTCTCTTAAAGTTTAACATTTTTACATTTTTTTGTGTTTTTATGGGCATTTTCAAACAATTGGCGCGAATAGAAATTTACAAATTATTAACTATATAATAACATAACTGCAAATAATGGAAGGTTTTTTATCTATACCGATTGTGCGCATTTTTATTGCTATTATTTTTGTTAATTAGTGGTATTTTAAAAACGCACAAATTTTGTTATGAAATTAAAAAAAAGTAGCTTTTAAAAAACAATGGCGTTGAAGCCCAATACACAGCAATTAGACATTTCGCGAGGTTAGAATTATTTTGTTTTATCTCCATGTTTTTCCGAACCGAGAAATCAAGTTCAAAGTTTTAATTGGACCTGCAGACCAAATATCATAAAAAACTCAAACAAAACCGTTTTGTATTAATTTCCTAAACAGGCTACTACAGTTTTAAAGAAATTGTATTAAAATATTTAAAGTGCAGGTGCCTGAATTACTACACCTTGATTTGGAGATGGAAGAGTGTGACACACACTTATTTTATAAAATACAGTGTTATTTTGTTCTCCATTTTCTGTTAAAAAATATTATAGAAACTATTATTTTTTATATATATTGTGCCAAGATGATTGTATATTTTGGCAATTAAAGTACTGTAAGGTACATATCTGTTTTAGTAGAAAAAAAATCTTATTTTACACTGTGAACAAATGATATAAACACGCTATTTTGTCTAAAATTCAATTCAACAGAGAAGATAAGTAATTATCTAAAGTATGTACCAAGATCTTAATAACAAAATAAAACTTTAGTTATAAGTTCTAAAAGCATAACATCTAAAATACATTGCAAAATAAAAAGATATCTTAAATAATAATCTGGTAAGTTCATTAAAAATATAACTTTTCAATAAGAAACCCATTTAATAACATAACATATAAACGTATATATTTTGACAATACAATAAATTATAATAAAATCCTCTTATAAAATGCAATATTTACAGCAGGCATGTACTTAAACAGATTTTGAACGACATTGGCTTTATCATTTGAAGTTTGAACACCCTTATTCAAGGCAGAAAACATAAGTACCTCTGTAATGACTAAGATTGTAGATTGTTTACTCATGCTTTTGAGGAAACATTATAACATGATTTTCTGTAGTATACATGATCTGAATGCTAGATGCTTTATCTAGATATAAGGAACAAGTCTAAAATTAAAAAAAAACCTGCAACAGCTAAAAAATGATTGAAATTCAATTTCTTCATTTGGTAAACATAATTTTCTTTTTTAAAGAGCAGGAATTGCTTTGATTAAACCAAGGGGATTAAATATTTCAACAGGAGCAAGTGCTCTATTTGACTGTGGATATTATCAACTTCTTGTATACTAGAATTCCCTGGTTTTAAACTTTTGTTAAATTACTCAGATTTTTGGGTAACATATCACAAACCAAAAATCAACAAATATACGCGTTCATTTTTTATCACTGATATTTTGTGTGTATTAAAATTTACAAGAATTTAACAGACTTTTTTTTTGGTCACAGATTTGCATGAAACATTTTCTCTCTTTCTATTTTTATACGGCTGATCAAATTGTCTTGCTTTCTCACATTCTGTATCCATGTTTTAGTTGGTGATTTTCGTTTCCTAGTTTTTCTTCAACGTAGGAGCAGACGACAAGCTATTGTTTTTTAGGATTATCATCATGATAAGTTTCTGAATTATATATATATATATATATATATATATATATATATATATATATATATATATATATATATATATATATATATATATATATATATATATATATATATATATATACATATATATATATATATATATATATATATATATATATATATATATATATATATATATATATATATATATATATATATTAGGGTGTTTCAAAAATAGGTCATGTTTGAAAAAAAAAAAGAGCCCTAGCTTATCATCTGCCCAGACCATGATTTAGTACTAAAAATTTTTTTTTTTTGAAAACTCTAAGGGTTCCTTCAGGGGGTAAAAGGGGCAATTTTTAGGGCATTTCGTACCATTTTTAAAATTGTTTGTAGGAAGTCTTGACATTAATTTTTTTTTTTTTTTAATATATATTTATGTTTGTAAAGACTTATTTAATCCAAATAACATGGGCTCTATTCTCAAAAAAATATTAAAAATTTATAAAAATTGCTTCAAAAAACCCTAAAATTCATAAATATTTAGTAAAGCTTATAAAAGTACAAAATATTTTAAAATTATATTTAAAACCTAAAAATTACATTATGTTTTTATTTACTTTTAATACAGTACTATATTGATTTCTCATTTATATCAGTTTCAGGGGTTACTTTGAGAAATATATTAAAGGGAGGGCCTGGACAGGGAATGAAGATTTTTTGTAATCAACAGTTAAAACCATACGGTTTGTTCTCAAACTTAAAAAAAATTAAAAGTATAAAACTGTAAAAGATTTTAAATCAGTAGTAAAGTTTCTTTTATATTAAAATACAGAAATCCTAGTGAAGTTATGATCCTCTCTATTCTTTCTTGAAAAATTGTTATAAACAAAAAAATGAAACTAGTCTTTATTTGCGGCTTTTTCGTAATCTGTTTTTTTCCTGCCTTTTCTGTTTTTCTTATAACTATTTGTAAATAGAAATGTGTCCTGCCTTTTCTCCTCAGAATATGCTCTGTTTATTAGGTCTTGAACTAACTTAACTGCCCTCTCAGAGCAGTCATTAACAACATCAAGTCCCTTAACTGTTGCTCTAAATTCTAGATAATAATCATTAAATTTCCAAACTTCTGGTGGAGTCTTCATCCATTGAGTTTCTGCTTTTCCATGCCTAAGCATGTCAAAAACAAGCCACGACTTTTCTGTTACTAGTGGAGTCAAACTAGGGGGCTCATCTTTACTGAAGTTGAGGCTATTCAATATAGCTTGGTCCATTACCTGGCGTTCCAAAGGAAAACTTTCATTTGGACATCTTTGTAAACTATATAGTTTTTTGGCCATATCACCACGTTCTCTACATTCTTTATTTGCTACGGCAAAAACTACTAAAGTTGGATCCAGATACCAAGTATGTCTAAGAATAGAGTTAGCAACAGCTCGAGAGCCAAGTAGATTCCATTCCTCAAACCTTTTCATTTGCCAATAAGCTTTTATATCCTAATAAATAACATTAATTAACATTTTGAATCACTTTAACCAATATTGAGCTTTCTAACTTATTAATAAAATATTAAAAGGCTGTATACCTGTGTTGGTGCCAAAGAACTTAACTCTGCTTTTAGAAACCACTCTGTATAGAAAAGGCTTATGAACAAAGCCATACCAGTTATTTCTTCCTTATGTTTGTCAGTTAGGTTTTGGATTTCATTCATTAAAAGATACAACTTTAAATAGTATAAACCTTTTCCCATAAATCTTAAATGGTGAATTGGTCCCGGTAAATGAAATTTAAATCTATTTGATGATAAAACCATTAAAGTAAGTTCAGCTAGCTCGTGGTATTCTTTTCTTATATTTCTGTCCTAAAATGTTTTTGATACCTTTTAAATTAGTAATAAATGTTACTTTTTAAAAGTTAGAAAGTTAGAATAGGAATCAAATTAATAAAAATAAGAATATCACCTTTTTGAAGATCTTCAAACTGATCACATTATTACAAAACTGAACAGCAACTAATTTTTGATTATATATCCATGTTCCAGGTGGTATTATTTTTCTTTTCAGTTCCTTAGTTTCAGCATCTATACTGTTCCAGTTTTGTTTTAAAACTTCAAATAGTTTGTTTTCTGGACCAGAAGTTTCGCTGCTTGGGTAAATCTTCCAGAAATGGGCTATGTGTCGTTCAATTACATGATGTCGACATGCAATCAACAACAATGGACGTTGAACTTGTTGAATTAATTTCATGCAAGTACCTTGCCATCTTCCTGTATTTGCTGAAGTTGTGTCGAAACAGAGACATTTGACCTTATCTTTTAATCCAAAATACTCCATCAATTCCACTATAGCTTGCTTTTGATTAACCCCTGAACTAGAATCTATTGGAGGAATGCCAAGTAGTTCTGTTTTTTTATCAATTCTTAGCAAAACTGCAATTCTATCTTTTTTAAATTGCTTTCTCTCTGTTAGTTCATTAACTATTTTTCCGTCAAAGTGTATAGTCATTAGTGAATCTGATAATATTACAATGTTTTTTATGTATTCTCTTATTTCTTTTGCCCTGGCAGATATTATGTTCTCCGCAGCTCTATAAGATGTGGATTTAGAACAATTAAAGTTTGCTACAGAACCACCAGACATAACAATAACACTACTAATCAATGCTGTATGTTGATGGGGTGTTATACCTTCTCCCACTGCTGTATGAGCGGTTGACTGAAGGATATTTTTAGGAAGCAGAACAGAATTTTGATCATTAGGATGCTCATTAAAATCAAAGTCAATATCTGTTTCTTCACCTAATTCATCGCTAGTATAACTAGCAGAACTTAGATAATCTGAATCATTCTTATTTAATTCTACTGACGGATTTTTACTGAACTTTGATGTGCTTCTTTTACTTCTGATTACAGAATATTCATATCTTTTAT